ATAACTTTATATTTCATTAGTTTGAAGATATTTAGAGTTGAAAATAAATCACACTCCATAATTACTGTATGTTGACAATAGGAAATCATGACAAAATGCAAAAAAAAATAAAAGTTCAAGGAGTATTGTAACTTTTTCGAGGCACTGAATAAAGTTGAAGTGATTTCAGCGTTTAAATAGTTAATCATTAGAACATTTTAATTGCAATGATAAGGTGGTTGTTAAAGGATATTTAGAATGAACACAGTACCTTGGATTCAAAGACTTTAAACTCACTGCTGCCCCTGGCCCTGCAGAACAGCTTACACCTGTCTCTGGGGGAAACTCCGGCGTACTTTGGGATCCACTGTTTCATGTTCCCACTGTGGTCCAAGTAGCTGGGGCTGTTGTATTTCTCACACTGCTCTTCTCTGAAACTTTTACCTAAACACACAGCACAGAACAGAAAATGAAGCTCCACATCTGCTTTTCTGCATATGTAAAAGAATGACAGATTTTACATGAAACTTGACTTTTTCCATCCTTAAAACACAGAAGTTCAGAACAATAAATGCCACTTGTGTGGATAGTAAGACTGAAAAATAAAACTCAATACTGTTGCCCAATGTGTAAGATATTTGCTTCAGACTTTAGTTTTACATATTACAGTCAGTTTGTCTGTTACCAAAATATTTCATGAACTCCTTGATGGATTTTATTGAACCTTTCAGAAATTTACATTTTTACATTTTATTTTTCATTATCAATGTATCACAGTTAACTTTAAGAAACACAAATATAGCTATAACTCCATCAATTGTATATGTATGAAACTGCTATTTTATATAGGGGATTCTAATGTCAACAGTCCATGAAATGGACATTATTAGGCGTTATCAGTCCCATACAATGGCTTCAGAGGGTCCCTACTGTGCCTTCTAGGCTTCAGACTGTCCTGACAGTGCCCCCTAGTGGGTTAATATATCAATGAAAATGAATGTCTAAATAACCAAAACGTAATAAATTTATTGTGTCTGTATTGGTCTTGATCCCTGGTCTCCCACCCACTGGTCCAACACTCTACCCATTGCCCCATTGGAAGGACACAATGTACATTAGTCGGAGGTCAGTGTTAACCATGTCATTTGCTCTAAGGTTAACCTTAGTGGCTTTAAGCCTCATATTAACCAGTTTTTTATGCCTCATATTAACCAGATAGTGGTTTTATGCCTCATACTAACCAGATAGTGGTTTTATGCCTCATATTAACCAGATAGTGGTTTTATGCCTCATACTAACCAGCTGACATTCTGAAGCCATTCTAGGGGACTGATAACGTCTAATAACGTCCATTTCATGGATGATAACATGCGAAGCGGGTGATTTTATGTGGTAGTAGCTGAGAGTCACAACACACTCTCATCAGAGTGTGACATTTTCTAATATTGCATGAGATGGTTTGAGCAGAACAGATACAACCCTGCCATAAGGAGAACTCTGTCGTAACAGTGGTGGGTGATATGCATCCTTTCAAAGAATGCCAGGACTTTATTTGTAACTGGGCAACAAAATCCAGAACTTGGTCGGATGCTTTAGGCAAAACAATTTGTAATTTTTTCCATGGAAACTAACAAACAGGGAATAAAAGACATTTTTGTTTATTGTTATCAAAACCAGACGTGAGATAAAAAGAAACTGGTCTGGACATGTTTCCACATGACTCCTCTATCCTGAACAAGTTGAACCTTTCTGGTGTTCACCTTCACTGTCTTTGCACGGCTGGATGTTGCAGGACTGGTATCGGACCCTCTGTCCCTCACAGTACTTCCCTCCGTTATGAGGCACTGGTTGGGTACATTCCCTGTAGGAGAACTCCACCCCACCTCCACAGGTCCTGGAGCACTGCTGCCACGGCCCCCATGAGCTCCAGCCGCCGTCCACAACCGTCTGCGGTAACACACAAAGAAAAACAAGTCCGGGCAGCAGGTCAGAACTCAGAGCCAGAGGAGAACTCAGCGGTGCAGAATAAAACCACAGTCTGAGAGTGTGTTGGTGTGCAGCCACTCAAAGCTAAATTTGTGTTGAAGTGTGGCACGTGTCTCCTGTCTGCCTCTGCCCACATTCCTGCCACATGTGTCACTCACTGTGGTGGAAGCTGCCAGGCTGGAGGCTTTAATGCCAACACTGAATACGACTTAGTTTGCTGTCGTAGTATTTTTTTTAGAAATGTTTGGTATGATTGGTAGCAATAAAGTCAGTGAGTAAGGTGAAATGAGTCACTTATTTCACATGTGGACAAAATTGTTGGTAGCCCTCTTTTAATGAAAGAGAAACCCACAGTGGTTACAGAAATAACTTGAATCTGTCAAAAGCAATAATAAATAAAAATTCTACAGAAATGAACAAATGCAAGTTAGACGTTGGTTTTCAGCCATGCTTCAACAGAATTAATAAAATTAAACTGATGAAACAGGCCTGGACAGAAATGATGGGACCCTTAACTTAATATTTGGTTGCCCAACCTTTGAGTCAATCAGTCAATCAAACAATTCCTGTAACCGTCAGTCAGACGTCTGCAGCTCAGCAGGTATTTGTTCCACTCCTCATGAACAAACTGCTCCAGGTGTCTCAGGTTTGATGTTTCAGCTCCTTCCAAAGATGCTCAACAGGATTCAGGTCAGGATCAAAGAAGACCATTTCACAGTAGTCCAGTGTTTTCCTCTGAGCCGTTCTTGGTGTTTTTAGCTGTTTTGGGTCATTATCCTGTTGAAGACCCATGAGCTGCTCAGACCAAGCTTTCTGACACATTTCTCTCTAGAATCCTCGATAGTCTTGACATTTCATTGTACCCTGCACAGATTCATGACCTCCTGTGTCAGATGCAGCAAAGCAGCTCCAGATCATAACAGACCTCCTCCATGTTTCACAGCAGGACAGTGTTTATTCTTGTTATGCTTCATTTTGTGACCATAGAGCTGATGTGCCTTGCCAAAAAGCTCCATTTGTGTCTCATCTGTCCAGAGGACATACTTCCAGAAGCTCTTGTCAACATGTAGTTTGACAAATTCCAGTCTGGCTTTTTTATCAATCAACCAATCAATCAATCAAACTTTATATATAAAGTCCTATAACATCAGCCACTGCTGAAAACAATGTGCTGAACACATGAAATAAAAACTGAATACAAAAACACAATAAAATCACACAGTTAAATAAGTAAAATCAGCACCAGTACAGTAAAAGTTGAGTAAAATCAAAACTCAGTTGGGTTGAAGGCCAGTGAGAAAAACGAGTTTTAAAAATGGACAGTGAAGGGGCCATTTTATCATTTGGTGTCCTCTTTGGTCATCTCCCATTAAGTACACATTGGCTCAAACAACAGATGGTGTGATCTGACACTGATGTTCCTTGAGCTTGAAGTTCACCTTTAATCTCTTTAGAAGTTTTTCTGGACATTTTTACTACCAATTGTATTATCTGTCGCTTTGATTTGTCATCCTTTTTCCTCCTGTGGCCACAGGGAGGTTGGCTACAGTCCCATGGATCTTACATTTTCGAATAATATGTGCAGCTGTAGTCATAGAATCAGAATCAGCTTTATTGTCATTCACACACAGCATCAAGCATGCAATGCAGAATGAAACTACAGTTAAGAAGATCCGTTCGAAGGACACACATAACAAACATGGGGGAACGGATGGCCAGGTCTTGCACAACATGGTACCTTTTGCAGCTTGGAAAATAAAACAGACAGTGGGATAGATAATCCTCCCAAGCTCAGTCTCAGAGTTCAGGGTTTCCCCTTTCTCCATCGCCACAGCCTTCAGACTGATCCTCACAGATGATATGGGGATGGGGAATGGGAGACTCAAGCCTTTGTTGACGTATCATCCCGGGAAGTTTTGATAACTAACGACTGACCAAGGCCAGCAGCTGCTGGGATCCGAAAGATAAACACAATTGTTTTGGGACAAGCGGCCTCAAATTTCTTGCTGCTTTACAGTCTTAACTGCATCTCTGTAATGGCAAAAAATGCTGAATGTTTCGAATTCATCATCTTCTCATCTCTTTCCGTCTGAAGCTTCACCCAGGTATAATCCTACATCTCACGTGCACGCTGCTGAGCTGTGATTCTCATCAGAATCACATCCAGCTTGTGACTTATTTCCCCCAACATCACAGTCAGCGTGTTTCCAGTATGAGATGTTCCATCCATGGTTCCTGACAGCTTCTCACAGGCCCGGGCTGCTGTCAGGATCACTTTCATTTTCCGATAAGCCAGAACTCCTCCACATCCGATCAGCAGGAATCCAGTTATCATGAATCCAGATWTGTATAAATCTTCTWTGTCTTCAATGGRAAGMRGTGCCAAACARATCMKGTTCCAGCCCCAAGAACCACTGACCCGACCAGCAGCAACCATTCCACTGGGACAGCTTTGTTCCCCTCATTCTAATCTCAATGTGGAAAAAATAGTGTCGATGGTGTTCAGAGACCAGTTGACCAAATCCATAATTCATTTTGTTTCGGATGATAGGTAGAAGAAAGGCTTGAAAAAGCTGTGAAGCAAGGAAGGAGGAATAGGTTCAGGAGAGAGAGCAATAGAGTCCAACTCCTCTGAAGGCCAAGCAGAAAAACAAACAAACAAAAAATAAAACAAACAAACAGGAACATCAAGCTGCTTGGAAATGGTCTTATAACCTTTACCTTTAACATGCTTGTCAGTGTGCATTGCCAATGCAATGCACACTATTGTCTTCCTGTTTCTCTTTATTATTATTATTCTGTCATCTTCCACCTCGCCACGCTTATCCTCCTGTACACTTTGTCCTAGAGCTGCCATTGTACTTTGTATCTGTTAATATCTATGCCAAATGATGACTGTGGCTTTTGGTACCTGTACAGCTTGTAGTTTTTCAAATATTAATGTTTAAACTTTATTCCAAAATTCATATAATGGCAGTCAATGGAGCCTTATATTGGTTCAATACTTCCCCCTGCTGTGTCTACTCAATACTGAACCATAGTTGAATACTATTTATTCTCAATAGTTCAGTGTTTACAATACTAATAGGATTGTATTTTAATATTTAATATAATATTGTACTAATATTGATTTATTGTTCTAATAGATTTCAGTTTAGTGTCAAAGATTGCATTGGCAATGTTGCCGCTTTCTGCACATGTCCAAACCAACCGCTAGGCAGTATCCTCTGCCACAGCTCCAATGGTCTTGTGGTTAGTACCATGGACTTTCATGTGGGAGATCATGGTTCTAAACCCAGCTACAGCAAATTTAAGAAAAAAATCTCTTCAAACTTCATATTGTCACACAATTACCTTAATTACAAACACCTGACGTGACAGGCACAAGCTGGTATAGAAAACACCTTTGAAGTTGGTCACAGGTCATTTTGCAAGTCCACTGATGCAGGCAAAGCCATGCTACATGGCAAGCACACTTGTTTTTACATCGTAAAAACCCATGTGTATAATTCTCTTTCTAATCTCCTGAGACAACTCTTTTTTATTTTCTTTTACTTATTATTACTTTAGTCAGATTCAAGTTATTTCTGTGACCATTGTGGGAGTTTCTTTCATTAAATGAGAGGTACCAACAATTTTGTCTACGTGTGTTTTGGACCATCTGCATCTAGCCAGTGCACGGCAAGAGGCCTGCATTTGTCAAAGCCAGAGAGACTACAGTCCATACTAAACAGTCAGATATGGCCTGTTTTTCATTTTGTGAAGTGCAAAAAAATGAAAAAGATTTAGCTGTGAGACAATGACAACACTGAGCAAACAATATGTTGTGAATAGTAATTTCCCTTAGCTTTCTAATAACTGAAAGTTCACCAACAAGCTCAACCAGCAAAGTGTATTATTGTGCAACACTGAGCTTTATGGCTGCAGGTAATAATCTGTGTTTTCAGGCATTGTACAACGTTAAATTGTTTCTTTTAGAGCTGAGAGACTTCAAGATTCAATTTAAAGTGTAATTCTGGATTTATCAAGATGCAACAATAATTGTTTTTAACAGATCAAACTTTTAAAATGTAATTAAATCAAACTGTGATGTGCCAAAAACTCACATCCTTTCTGAGCATTGGTCAAAATGACATCATTATAATATTTTTTTTTGTAAAAGTATAGGTTTCATGAGTAAATATGGTCCTAATAAAAATAAACTGTCCTCACCAGAAATAAATATTGTCTCACCAATGGTTGCATCATTTCTTCAGTCAGCTTGCAGACTCCATGAAGGCAGGTCCTGTTAGGACCACAGGGGGTGCCGTCAGCCCAGGGAAAAGTGCCATTCCTGGTGGAGCACTGCTTCAGACCGTCCTCCTTACACCACAGCTGACTGCAGATATCTCTGTCTGAGGTGTTGGGGCAGTGGATAAACTCCTCTCCGAAAGTCTGCTGACACTGTTGGTCCAGGCTGTACTTGGTACCAGGCAGTTCCTGAGGTAAAGGCATGGTACTCTCTGGAACATCCAGTAGGCAGTCCCCTGTAATTAGACAACACATTAACGATGTTATAGGGATTATGGCTTTGGCTTTTCTAACCATGTTCTTCTTTTTGTGTAAGGAAACATTAAAATGTCAGCATGACACACCCTGAAGACAATCACTTCACTTTAACAAATTTACAAAGGCTCAAAATCCTGACATTTATCAGATTACTAAAATCAGAATCTATTAACCATCCCTAAGATAAAAACAAACATCTTTGAGCTGCCTTCAGGCCCAGGCCTCCCTTAAAAAAGAAATCTGTGATATCAAAACAATTTGTCTGACTTAATAAAGACTAACTGAACATTCTCAAACATGAAAGATTCCCAGAAACTTTTTCCAACAAACAAAAACTGTTTTTCCATCAGCAGCTGTTGTTGTTGGTGATAAAGATGGAGAGCAGGGAGGAGTTGAAACACGATTCACTGGAAAGAAACGTCTGCTGTTGAATCCAGCAAGAATACAAACAATACCCAAGGTGTTTTCTTGAAGTTAGTGCTCAACATAACCTGCTGAAATACAGTGGTGGGCAGCGCTAATCCAAAAATTAGCTCCGCAATTTCTAAAGCACTTACATAAATAATTAGGTTCGCAACTTTAAAAAGACTGATGCCATAGAAAAACTAGCAGAAGCTAATTTTAAAGTGCAGTTCAGTTAGACACTTACTAGCTGACAACAATTCATGTACAATTCATGTACAACACTGCCAACTAGTGGTGTATGAACTCTTTTACAGCTTAATTCTACAACCGTCGATTACTGGGGATGTGATTTCCTGAAACAGACCTTTAGCTCCTGGTGTACAAATTAAAAAGTTGTTGAGGATTGCTAGTTCGGCTGCTTCTTTGTCTTTTTCTTTTGCTTGTTGTAGATTTTTCATTAAAGAAGCATCAATAAAGTAATTTTAAAACTGTTTATTGGAAAACTGAAGTGATGCATTCTGGGTACATGATGGATTTGATTTGTGACGGGAAACAAAAGCACAGAGTACAGGAAACTATCTTCAAAATAAGAGCATGGATTTTAAAGGTTTCCATGTAGTTGCTCCAGTTGACCACTAGAGATCAGTCTTCATCAGCATAACATATTTAAATCATTTCTGAGTCTCTAACCCCGTTGGCCGATTGCTTCGACCAATTACATCAAGTATTGAGCTCCATCGTTTAAACTTTATTTTTAAACATAGCTCCAATTGTAAAGTAAAATAAATCAATACATACAAAATTTTAGTATGGATTACAAACGTTTACTGTTTTTGCTGTTGCCTTCCTGCTACGTAAGCAGACACAAATCATTGTGGGAAATCAGAACCGTGACCCAAAGCAACAGTCAGCAGGATGTATACCTTCACAATAAGTGTGTTTATCTGGGAGGGGTGCTGTTGGATAGATCACATGTTGTGATTCATTGACAGTCATACCTTCTGCTGTTCAACATAATGATGACTGGTAGATAATTAGTTATTAGTGGTACTGCATTTTAATTTTAGAAAGTGCAAATCTGCTTATGAATTATAATAATTAGTAAGACCGCTAAAGAGCAAATGAAATATTTAGGTCTGTAATTAGCAGGCTGGTGTCCACCACTGCTGAAATGTAACTGAGTGTGTCAGCACTTACAAACTAATGTTGGTATCAAAATAAAGCAAACTGGGAGATTTCATCAGAAATATTCCAGCAGCTGTTCTTGTTTCTGACAGTGAGGATGGAACAGAGAAAAATATGTTTTTTCTTTCCGTTTGCCTGGTGTTTTTACATACAGGCCTTTAAGAAACCATAAATCACATTACCTGTGCAAAACGTCCTGCTGCCAAAGTAAACCAGAGGAAAGTTCCTGAGGTTTGAGTAAAGAAATAACTCAGTGTTTTGTCTTTCTGCAGAGGATGGACCATGTTGCTCCCATCAATAAATGTTAAGACATTATAGGTTTTATTTTTCTTACATGCCTGAAAATAATCGTTTTTGAATGTTAGGTAATTACACACTCCTTTAGTTTTCACCCTGTTGATGAAGAAACAATCAGAAAGGATCATGTTTGACTCTAAGTGTATTTACTCAAAATAAAAAATACTTGGTACCACTTTACAATAAGGTTCCTTTTATATGGACTTTAAAGAGTTTATAGATAGGTTATTAATTCATCTTTAAACATTTATAATTTATTAATAAGTGTTTATTATGCAATAATTAAGGTTAAAAAAGAGACTAAACTGGTTTATTACCAAATACTGAACTAAGTCTGTTTGTGTATTAAACATTTCAGACTACTTTACTACCTTGTAGCACAATAATGATTAGGAAACACATATTTTAACATATAATAATGTACTGTATTACTGCAGTATAAATATCCACACATATTAAAGGGATCCTTATTCTACAGTATAAAACTGTACACTATTTGGGATGGAGTGGGATTATTTGGTTTGTTAACATGACATTTATTTTATTTTTGATACTTCATCATTGACATTAGTTACATGTTCAAACAATAACTTCAAATATTTATAATCAACACTAAGTTTTAAAAATGATTTTTCACATTAAAGACTAACTTTTAGCATTTATAAATGTTTGTCATTAATAAATAATGTACTGTTTTACACTTTATGATAAGTCTTCCTTTGACAGCTGTGAATATTTATAACACAGTAATACAGTGTAATAATATGTTAAAATATGTGTTTCTTGTTGTTATTATACTTACAATGTAATAACCTAATCTGAAATGTTTAATAAACACCTTTAGATGTAATATGAACATGAACAGATTTGTCTCATTGTTTGATAAGAAACTGGACAGTTTTGTCTTTATCATCCTTAATTATTACATAATAAACATTTATTAATGATTTACAAAGTGTTTACAGATGAATTAATAACCTATTTATAAGACATTTATAAGAGGAGACTTATTTTAAAGTGGTAACAAATACTTTAATAACACTGAAACACTTTTATAGATTTGATTTGTTTTATTTAGTTTGAACTGTTTAGGGAATGTAGAAATGTTTTTATGAGTTTCAGAACAAGTTTACCTGATAGTTAGGGTTTGGGGCTCAAGAGTCAAATGTTTAGTTGAAGTTTAACATTTATGTTGCAGCTAAATTTATCTGATTCATAGGATTTTAAACATTTGCCCTGTGAATTGTTGAAATGTTATTAATCCAGCATTTAATAAGACAGTTAAATGGAGATTCAGAGAACAGATGGATTCATGAGGCTGTGTGTGAAAGAAAAGAGGAGACAGGAGGAGGGAAGAGAACAGGATGTGAAGAAAGATAAACTCTCAGCACAACCTATAATTTGAGGTGAGCAGCATGTTCCAGCAGGAAAGCCATCATTCAGCAGAGGAAGAGAAGAACTGTGTTTTATTCATCTGCCTGAATAAAGAGACACTTTGTTGGATCAGATGTTTAACTCTTTACTCACCGTGTCCGTTGTCAAAAAACTCTGTGACGTAGAGCGCGCTGCAGGGAGACCAGGGTGCACTTTGGTTCAGACT